AGCCCGAGCGCAGAGTTTGGGCGTGCCTAATAAATGCGAGATAAGAATTCGGCCTAGTGGTGATGCAGATGGACACTCACCCTCCAGATATGCGAAGATATCTTCGCCTGTGTGGGGATCCTCGCTGAAGATCCTAGGTGGGCTAGTGGATGGGGATGACCTCGACGAGGTCGATGCACGAGAAGACGCTGTGCTGGCGTAGGTCATGGATGGCGTGGGGGAGGTCAGTGGTGCGGTGTAAGTCGACACACTAGACGCAGATGACCATTGACTATCGTTTAGGAACAGCTTCGAGGGGTCGCTCGAAGGACGAAACGCAGCGACGTCGATATAAGGTTGAGGATGCGCCATCTCCTCCGACATCCAGGGCTGGCTGTAGAACTGGCCGGGCGAGGTGACAGATGGCGGTGATGCCATCGGCATGTACATGGGATACGACACCCCTGTTGTTGGTAGGAACTGTTTCGGAGTGTTAATGGAGATATTGAACAAGACCTGGGCTGACATACCTGATCCCACTCCTGACAGCTTTGCTCATAGGCGGGGCGAGAGTAGGATAGTTGCGAGAGGGGGAGATTCGGTGGCGTCGGTGGCGAAAGATATGGGAAAGCGGGAGGCGACCCATACAGTTGGGAGTCGTCGAGGTATGCGAAGAGTTGGGAGTTCTGTTGGTAAGACATGGTTGCGCGATGCATGCTGGATGGTACACAATGTGGGGGGAAATGCTCATGTTGCTCGCTTTATGACCAGGAAAACGAGTTCGTAGGCGCTCGGTAAGCGCTCACGTCGTCGGAGCAAGTGCCTTCCATTATCACGCTTAGGACCCCACGCACAGCCAGATCAGCGATATGTGAGCTTCTTTCGAGTCAAGAAACTCCGACAGCTGATAAATGCAGACAAAATTGGACAGAATAGGCTGGTTGCCATGCAGTGGGCCTGTTATTGTGGCGGCGCGGAGAACAAGACAAGCCGTAAACGGTGTTTCTCTCCCAGGAAACAGCTCTAGGACCCTCTGATTGACCACTGCGCACCTTCCCCTCGTGTCGTGATGCAGTGTTCTGCGTATGCGGCTCAGCTTCTGAGGCCCAAGCTTGCCGATGTCATTACGCGGAGCAGGCATCGCACTGATGCTCGTACCTTTTAACAGACCGCCCATCCCACTGATCCACGCGGAAATAGCTGAGAATTCTGACATGGACCGGCCAGCTTGACCCGCTAGACCCCGCTCGCTCCCAGCACGAGGTGTGTGGTGGCACTGCTTAGGCCTGCGTCCGGTCTGCTGGCGTGCAAGTGCCGACTAGATTGACCGAGGGTCCTCACTGCCTGCGTCGTTCAAGGGTGCATACAGATTTGGATAGGTGGGTTGCTCTGCTTGTCACGTTCTCCCCAGGATGCAGTCGCTTAGCCGAGGGCTTCACCCCAACACTTGCAATTTGATCGAAGGCACTGGTACCCTTGAAGGAGGAGTAGCATGTAAACTGAATGCACGTCTTCTGTGTCTGTTGTCATTCTGAATCCGATATGCTGAGAGATACAACGCTCTGGCCGCGTTTGTTCGCAACTCAGACAAGGCTTGGGTTGTCTGCCGCTCCCCGCGAAAGTCGTGCTACTATAATGGCCGCTCGTATCGAGAGACGCTCTGGCTGCTTGCCTATCGTCCTCGAGCACGTTTTGGTGCACATGGGACCTGATGGGCAAGATGCAGGAGCTTTCCTAGTCTGGTGGCAACGTGATTGATGTTGCTCATGGTGCGCGCATCGAGGACCTCGATATAGCGACCATGGTGGTAGTGGTTGAGATTCGCACTAGGGACTCGGGTACACCCCTATTCGCAATATTCAAAATCAGAGGGCGAGAGCTATCTTTCGGAGCGGCGAGTTAGCGTGCCTTACGGTTGTCAACTTCTCACGTCTGGGTAGATTTGACACAATCTGACGACCCATGCAATTGCACGTCGGTCGCTAACGTGAAAATCCTGCGACATCAAGAGGCATTCTCGGTCTTGTGTACACAATTTGTATCAAAGACAACTTCATGGACCAGATTTACTACATCTGTCGAGACGTCACATCATGAAGGAGACTAGTCAGAGACTTTCACCACCCTACAATGACATGTCAAATCAGATTGCGCTATGTGAGATGAAGTGCGACACATACAATTTACCCTCGTTCTCTCCGCGGAAGAGTATTCCAAGTGATCCAGGTGCGGTATCCAAGCCGTTAAGCACGTGGTATCGCTGTTTGATAGCTCCCTTCGTAACGAGCTCAGTGAGGTACTTGCGGCCTTCCTCAAGGCGAGCAGTATAGTCATATCTGGCATGGGTGTAAGTTGTCGGACGCGTGAGCAGACGATAGAACAACTCACAAGCTGAATCCCCGCATCGTAGCGCGTTTGCTTAGTAATTGTGAATAGTTCCGCAGGGGATACTGCTCTGCCGTATCTAAGCCAGCTTCATGAGATGTATCTCTAGACGCAAGATTACATAAACTCACTATACTGGGAGACGCCTCCTGTGGGACACGAACATCGCGTCAGCCAAAGCGCATTAGACTTATGTCGAGTATCGTACCGCAAATAATGATGCGGGCATGCAAGTTCATGCTCGCCAACGCCAGGTCAAGAGCTTCGCCGCCTACGTTGTCATAGAATACGTCTAGCGTCCCTACCGCCTTAGAGAAGTCATCCTTGAACGTGGGACTCTTGTAATTGAGCGCCTTGTCAATGCCCAGCTCTTGCTCGAGCCATTCACACTTCTTCGTGGACCCGGATATGCCAATCACCTTCGCCCCACGCTCTTTACCAAGCTGACATACGATGGAGCCAATAGCACCTGCGGCGCCGGATACAACCAGGGTCTCCCCGGCCTTAATCTGGGCAATATCAATGAGACCCTATGCATGTTCTTGTCAGCACAGGACTGGGTGATGCGATGCGTTGTGCGGCGTACAAAGTAAGCCGTGAGACCTACGAAAAGCTATCAGATGAAACTTCAGTCTACAAGGGTAAAATTCGTGTACCAATATGTCCCAGAGGTCCAATGTAATCAAGGGCCTGCGTGTTTAGAGGGAGTCTGACAGAGAAGTGAGGCCATAAGTCATGCAAATTGAACATGATAACGGTTTATGTATATGTACGTACTCGAGCTTCTGGACAGCAGTCGCATCCCTGATTGTATATTCCGCCATGTCTAGTTACGTAGATGAGCCAAGTACTATTGACTCAAACATGGACCCAAAATTGACTGACCCAAGTCCCCGCTCACCAAATCGCCAGGAACAAGAGAGGTATCCTCTCCGGACGCAATCACAGCTCCGATCCCAATGGTTTGCATGACGCTCCCGATTGGAATCGGCGCCAAGAAGGTTTTCGTCTCGCTGAGCCACAAGCGCGTAGCAGGATCAATAGAGAGGTATTGCACCCGGATCAGCACCTGGCCCTTTTGAGGTTTGAGATCGAAAGGCACAACTTCTTTACGAAAGTTGTCCGCCTCGATGAAGGCGGAATCAGCAGGCCTCGAAGCAAGTACAATTTGAGTGTAGTGTGATGGTGACATGGCGTAACAAATTGGCTCAGATAGAGCTTCTGGGTAGGTATTTATACCTACGAAGCAATGCCATCAGTAAGCATAGTCTATCGGAGCGCCTATGTGGCATCAAAAGGGCATGCCGGACAAGCCGACGACACGCAACGCTTATTCATGTAAAGGTGCCACAGAGCATCCGAGTACTGTGGAGGAGTGTAATGATCATGATGTCGTTCGGGTGACCCCTAAGTCGGATACATACCCTCCTATGTGCCTTCGATTGGCAGAAGAAACATACTCGTAAATACCTCTTCCAAAGGCGATTGAACCATACATCAGTCAGAGATCCCCCCTTGATAGTCGTCATGTAGCACCAGCTTGAGACTGGAATAGCTGAAACGTAATTACAGCAAAACCAATATTGATACCACTGGCAGTATACATCCCCTCGCAAAGTATACACTTCGGCAAAGTGGGGCAGAAGCTCGTGGCAGGAGTCGGCAGTGGTGCAGACACGTCGACGAGCGGCCGATGACTACTAAGAATCGTGAGGTAGACGCTCACTGTAGTAATCCCCTCGTCCTCTCGCCGTCTATCAGTAATGGATGATATATCCCTCTTCATAAGGAATTCGGTGTATAATGCATGTCTGACTCCATGACTGATGGTCAGATAAATGAAGCTACTGGTATCGCAGAGCTCGTCGCTGTCTACCTTTGTTTGCAGAAGTAGAGAGCGACGATGTAAACGTCGACAAATAGACGAATATCGAGACATTGGCGTGGATTACGTACTATATATGGCTGCCATGAACAACACTGAGATCTCTTCGGGATGAAGGCACGCCACCCTCGAGGTCCTGAGCGCCGCTATGCTCCATGCCGCTATCTGTACTTTTTGCGAGGGAGGTCTATCAATATTGGTTTTGCTGTAACGATGCACCGCATGACACTGTCCAACGTCACCACGGTCGTAGTAAGCCACGGGCGCTCTTGAATCCCGCCGCGCGGGTACTATATGCTGCACGCGACTACCAGCGCCTATCAGACTATGTTAGCGATCAAGCATATCCTTTTTGGGAGATACAATACCGCGAAAATAAATAAAAGGCGGGTCGGCCAGCTCAGAGTCTTTCACAAACTTCCATGTCGCTGGGTGCGACCGCGACAGGGCGAAAGCCGCGATGCTCACACCACACAGGCCGCTTCGCGCAGCATTCTCTGTGAGCGGGCTAAGGTCTGAGAATTCTAGTCTCCCTCGATGAGCTCTAGCTGGGCTCGGTCTTGACGGACCGCAGCGGCGTACCAGACAACAACCGAAGACTGCATCGACGAGCTGGCGCTCACGCTCACACGGAGTCACTCGTCGATCCTGAAGACTCTAGTATAGACGAGGGAGCAGTGGATCACGCTGACAAGTGTGGGGGGTTTGGAATGGTCGCGGGGACTGGGCGGGTCGCTCTGCGGAGTGGTATGTGGTCGTCTCCATTGTTGTGTCCAGTCTCGTGTGCTCCTCTTCGGAGGGCACATGCTATTGACGATCGCGCACGGCGCGCAATGCGCGACGTGGGTGTAGCCTCGTATGAGGTTTGGACAAGGTGGATGAT